AAGCTGCTACTATGATATGAGCTAATAACATTTTGACTTGTCTTTCTCATCTCTTGTGAGGATAGGAGAAGCAACAAGATCTGTTATTCTACACTTCTGTCCAGCAAACCAGGAAAAACTGATTAGTGAAGTAAAAGCCGTGGGCAGCTTGGAGAAAGTCAGTAAATCAGCTCAGAGTTTATAATCACCAAGGAAAGAGATACTAAGTCAGACTTGTCCTCTATAACAAAGGAAGAAAGATGATTTCAAAGGGTTTGGAGAAGGAAAAAATGTGAGATTCCCATAAAGAAGATGACACAGCAGGAATGGAAAATTCTAAGAAATGAAATTCTTAAGATAAAAATTAAAAAGTAAATAAAGTAAAATTTAAATTTAAAGTAAAATTGCAAATGGTCCCAAAGAGGGAGAAAAAGGAATGATATTGAAAGAGAGAACCTTTACTACGCTACTTGTTACCAAAGAGGTCATTTTGAATGAATTAATGAATGAATTGAAAAGCATTTAGTAAGCATTTGCTATGTGCTAAGCACAGGGAATACAAATAGGAAGGTGACTGCCACTTAACGCCTGTGTGACCTTGGGTAAGTCACTTATAACCTCTCTGGAACTAAGTTTCTTCATCTGTAAAAAGAGAAAAAGAAAGAAAGGAGAGATAGAGAAAGAAAGAAGGAAAAAGAAAAGAGGGAAGGAAGGAAGGAAGGAAGAAAGGAAGGAAGGAAGGAAGGAAGGAAGGAAGGAAGGAAGGAAGGAAGGAAGGAAGGAAGGAAGGAAGGAAGGAAGGAAGGAAGGAAGGAAGAAAAAGGAAGAAAGAAGCCAAAATAAATAAACAAAACTAAGAGTAATAGAATGGGCTTTTTAAAGTATATTGCACAAGAACTAGGAAGACATAAACTCAGTGCTTGGGATAGATGGTGTAAGGTAAATAGCTAACAGCAAGAAGAGTTATTTAACCCCTACTTTGATCCTCTTTTCTCTATCAAATAGAATGTCCTTCAAACTGGGAAATACAGAACAAAGCGGCAACTCTGAGATATGTGAGGAAGTAGTCAGGAAACACCAAGGCATTTCAATGAGCTTGAGTCTCCAGGCCCAGAAGTCTAAATTACAACCCAGGTTACTGAAAGAACTTACAGATAAAATTGCAGAATCATTGTTGGTCAAATTGCAATACCAGGGAAGATGGCTCGAGGAGGGGTGTGCAGGGCGGAGGGCCGCAGGAGAGTGAGAGCAGGAATGTGTTGCTCTACTTTCAAAAAGGGGCATCTCAGAAACTGCAAGTCAGTTCATTGGATGAAAATTTACAGCCAAATTACAGAATGGATTATCAATAGGATGGCTTGTGATTACTTACAGAGGAAAGCATTTGACACTAAGAGCCAGCATAGGTTCACTAAGAAGTCATGCCATACTAACTTCATTTCCATTTTTGGTAAAGATATTGGGCTTTAAACACATGCTGCAGGTCTGTCTATGTACTTGTCTCTTTCAATAAAAAGTCAGTACCTTTCAAGTAGAGGCAGTTAGGAGGCCCAGTAAATAGACCATCAGGCCTGGAGTCAGAAAGATCAAAGTTCAAATCCAGCCACAGACATTTACTAACTGTATGACCCTGAGCAAGTCACTTAACTTGTTTGCCTTAGTTTCCTCATTTATAAAACAGGGGAAATTATAGTACGTACCTCCCACTGTTGTTGGAGGATCAAATGAGATATCTGTAAAGCACCTCACACATACTAGGTAATTTATAAATGCTAGCTATTATTAAGTAGGGATTGATTCCCTCTTGGTACTGACATTCCTGGCACCAAGCACAGTGCCTGCAAACAGAAAACACTTAATAAAAAACTGATTGATTGATTCCCAAAGACATAGTCTATTTGGATCATTAAGACATTTTGACAAAATGACTCAAAATATTCTTGTGAACCATATGAAGAAATTTGGTGAGGTTCCAACAAATTTAATTCTGACAAGTGACCCCAAAGGGGGAGAAAAGGAATAACTGTAGCTGATTGGTCATGTCCAAAGAGTATTGATTGCTGAATTAGTGTCAAACTAAAGAACTCTAATGAAATGTCACAGGTTTCTATTCTTTGTACTATCTGTAATTTAATTGTTCAGTTTGACAATCTTGTAAAATAATGTTATGCTCACGTGCATTTTAGGCTATGTTGATAAATTTAAGGACACACAAAAACATTCGTAAAACAAAGTTAAACGGTTAAGTGAGTTGCCCAACATCGTATAGGAATTGAGTGTCAGAAAAGGGACTTAAGCCAGTTGAATTTGTTAGGCTGGTAGCCAGAAATAAAGTTTACATTTTAACTTAAAGTCCCTTGTCATCCTTCCCAACTAAACAGAAAGCGTCCCATGGACCATCAGTTTTTACCTTATGTTGTACTTCAAGCCCAGCTTGTCTCCCATATTCAGAGCCTTAAAAATGTCACCCCTTAGAACCAAGTTCTCAATTACCATGGCAATGAGAACACCTACAGGAGGAGCATATCAAGGCAAACCCCCTCCAGTCTCTCTGCTTTTCTCCAGCAAATTGGTTTATTTCTTTGTACTATCCTTGCAGAGGTCAGAAAAGCCCAAACTGAGTAGAGCAACTGGTCTTAATACCACCTTTATTTCTTCCTTTGGTTCCTCAAAGAACTGACCTAAATCCCAGTTTTCAAATCTGTCTTGTCTTCTAGCCATAAAGGAGATGTAAAAAATGATACACGCAAGGGTTTATGTTGCATTGCCCTGCCACCGACCAACAGCCTTTAAATGACAATTACGTGACTTTACAGGAGTATTAGCCGAGGAGTAAATATAATGTATATGTCATTTCTATTCCAGACAGGAAGACTGAAGGCAGTTGCTAGTGAATGACAGCAAATTGTACCAGATTCCAAGTAAATTTTAACAGCCTTTTAGCTGCACTTTTCATATTCACATACTCATTAGTATTTTAATTTTAGGTATATAACTCAAGGTTTTCAATAAAGCACCCGAGAAAAAAGACAAATGGAAAGGTGTCTCCTTAGCAACCTAGTGATGTAGGGAGGGTAAGGGTAATATACAGGACAGCCTAGAGCTCTGATGACAAAGTTTCCAGAAATCATTCAGGCAATTATGAGGTTGAAGCCTTCCCCCTAAATACTCCTAAATACAGAAATTCTCAGCAGAAACAGGCAGCAGCAGCAGTTCAGAGTGCTGGCCTGGGTCACCTGAAAATAAAACTGTGAAAGGTAAGAATGGTGCCAACCAGAACAATCCACCTTCTGATAATATTGAAAATCCTAGGGGAAAGGCAGACAGCTAGCTGCACAGGGTCGTTCCAGGTGTTGGCAGCTGTCTGCCATTATAAATTATCCCCCAGGGCCACAAAAGAATCTATGTTCTTTTTATGCTGTTGATAGGAAGTCAGCATTTGCAATGGCAGCACTATCTGACTCCTAGGAATGAATGAAGTAGAATGGGGAGAGGAGAAAAGAAATACAGAAAAGAAATAAACCAATTTGCCAGAGAAAAGCAGAGAAACTGGACGGTGTTTTCCCTTGATCTGCTCCTTTCGTGGCTTCCCCCATTGCCATGATAATTGACTGTGAAGACAGTTTTCCTGACCACCCAAATTTGCCTCTCTATAGCTTCCAATTATTATTTTTGTTTCTATCCACTGGGGCAAAGGAATAGCTGAGCTCTGGAAGTGAGTCAGGAGTTAGATGGCCTGTGAATGGCCTGTACAAAAAGTGGGAAATAAGGCTTTAAAACAGTGGTGGTCATCAGAGAGGATTTGAATCAGATGCTGGAATGTGAGCTGAAGAAATGAAGTTTCCCCCAAATGTTAAAATCAGCCTTAACAGGCTACTGTATTTGTTTCAGTTAAACTGATCAGGACAGAGAATAGAGTGAGATAGGTCTCCCAAGCAGCAGGAAACATCAAGGAGGGTGAAGGATGTAACTGAGAGGTCGGTGCTAATTAAACTGATACACCCATGGAATGACTCTTCAGCCCACATGAAGAAATATCTTCCTCTTCCAGGAAACTGGTGGTAAAGATAAACTTGAAAGGGTCCAAAGACACCAAAGGCTCCAGTGAAGCCATGTTCAATTCCAGGTACCCCATTTTAGGAAGGACATCTCCTTAGCTCAGTGAGGAAAAGCTTCAAGGGCCCAGGCTGGGTAGATCTTCCATCTACCCCAAAGCAACCACTTCCATCTGTACCAGCACAAGGTATCTTCTTACCTCCATCTATCTGTCCAATTTCCCAAATGGGTTGTGGAGAACCTCTGGTATGAAGAGCAGCCTTCCTACTTCAAGCCCCCTACTGTTCCTGATAACTTTGGAAAGGGCAGTTTCAGTTGAATGATGAGGTCAGAAGCCAGACTGTTGAAAGTTAGGAAGAGAGTGAGAGGAAAGGAAGTGGAGAAAAATATTGTAGACAGACTTTTTCAAAGAGTTTATCCATGAAGCAGAGGAAAGATATGGGATGATAGTAAAGATGAATGGAACAAGTAAGTTTTTTGAGGATGGGGGAGGTATGGGTAGTAGGGAAGCAGCCAGTAGACATGGAGAGATGGCAGATTAGTGAGAGAGGAGGGATGATAGAGGAAGCAGTCTTCTGGAGAAGAGAGGATAGAATGGGGTCCCTTGTGGATGTAGAAAGTATTACCATACTAAGGAGTAAGACCATCTCCTCATGTGATTCAGGGGTAAAAGAGGTAGTGGTAGGAGACATCTGAGGGGTACAAAATGAGAGGGAGAGGATAATACCTCAGGTTTTTTTCAGTGCAATACAATGGAAATTTCTCAGCTGAGAGGCTGGGGAAGGAGGAGCTATAAGAAGGTTGAGGAGGGAAAGGTTTGGAAAAGTTGCCACGGTGAGTGGAATGGCAAATTAATTAGGAAAGTGTAGAAGTGTAGAGTGCCTTGCTGCAGCAAGGGCCCAGGTGAGATTATGTAACATCAATTTGTAGTGGACTAAGTCAACATGATTTCTTGATTTTTGCAGATTCATTCAGCAGCACTTGAGTGGACACAAAGGCATCAGATGTTGGGGGTGATCCAATGTTGGGGTTCGAAAAGGTAAGATTTTTTTAAATATAAATTTATTTATTTTTAGTTTTCAACATTCACTTCCACAAGTTTTTGAGTTCCAAATTTTCACCCCATCTCACCCCTCCCCCCACCCCAAGATGGCATGCATTCTGAATATCCCTTCCCCTAGTCTGTCCTCTCTTCTATCTCTTCCCCCCCCTTCTCTTATCCCCTTCCACTTCTATTTTCCTATAGGCTAGGATAGACTTCTATACACCATTTCCTGTATTTCTTATTTCCCAGTAGCATGTGAAAACATTTTTTTAAACATATGTTTTTAAAACTTTAGGTTTCAAATTTTCTCTCTTCCTCCCTCCCCACCCACCCTCATTGAAAAGGCAAGCAACTCCATATAGGTTGTATGTGTGCAGTTATGCAAAACGCTTCCATAGTGGACATGTTGTAAAAACTAACTCTATTTCCCTTAATCCTATCCTGCCCTCCCATTTATTCTGTTCTTTCTTTTGACCCTGTCCCTCCTCAGAAGTATTTACTTCTGATTACACCCTTTCCCAATCTGCCCTCCTCTCTATCATCCCCCTGCTCTCTTGTCCCCTTCTCCCCCTATTTTCCTGTAGGGTAAGACAGATTTCCATACCCAATTGAATGTGTATGTTATTCCCTCCTTAAGCCAAATCCTATGAGAATAAGATTCACTCATTTCCTCTTACCTTCCCCCATTTCCCCTCCACTGTAAGACCCTTTTCTTTTCTGTTTTTTGTGAGATAATTTACCCCATTCTACCTCTCCCTTTCTTCTTCTCTGAGTATAATCATCCCTCATCCCTTAATTTTATTCTCCAGATAAGACCCCTTAATCTTCAACTCACCCTGTGCCCTCTATCTATCTATCTATACACACATATAATTTTTTCCCTCCAACTACCGTAATACTGACAAAGGTCTCATGAGTTATAAATATTATCTTTCCATGAAGGAATGTAAACAGTTCAACCTTAATAAGTCTCTTATGATTTCTCTTTCCTGTTTACCTCTTCATGTTACACTCGAGTCTGTATTTGAAAGTCAAATTTTCTATTCAGCTCTGGTCTTTTCATCAAGAATGCTTGAAAGTCCTCTATTTCACTGAATGACCATTTTTTCCCCTGAAGGATTATACTCAGTTTTGCTGGGTAGGTGATTCTTGGTTGTAATCCTATCTCCTTTGCCCTCCAGAATATTATATTCCATGCCCTGCGGTCCTTTAATGTAGAAGCTGCTAAATCTTGTGTTATCCTGATTGTGTTTCCACAGTACTTGAATTGTTTCCTTCTGGCAGCTTGTAATATTTTCTCCTTGACCTGGGAACTCTGGAATTTGGCTATAATATTCCTAGGAGTTTTCCTTTGGGGATCTCTTTCAGGAGGAGATCTGTGGATTCTTTCAATTTCTATTTTGCCCTCTGGTTCTACTATATCAGGGCAGTTTTCCTTGATAATTTCTTGAAAGATGATGTCTAGGCTCTTTTTTTGATCATGGCTTTCAGATAGTCCAATAATTTTTAAATTCTCTCTCCTGGATCTATTTTCCAGGTCAGTTGTTTTTCCAATGAGATATTTCACATTGTTTTCTAATTTTTCATTCTTTTGGATTTGTTTTACAGTGTCTTGATTTCTCATAAAGTCACTAGCTTCCAATTGCTCTATTCTAATTTTTAAGGAAGTATTTTCTTCAGTAATCTTTTGGACTTCCTTTTCCATTTGGCCAATTTTTCTTTTTAGGGCATTTTTCTCCTCATTGGCTTTTTGGACCTCTTTTGCCATTTGGGTTAGGCTATTTTTTAAGGTGTTATTTTCTTCAGTATTTTTTTGGGTCTCCTTTAGCAAGCTGTTGACTTGTTTTTCATGATTTTCTTGAATCACTTTCATTTCTCTTCCCAGTTTTTCCTCTGCTTCTCTTACTTGCTTCTCAAAATCCCTTTTGAGCTCTTCCAAGGCCTGGGACTGATTCATATTTTTCTTGGAGGCTTTGGATGTAGGAGCTCTTTGTTATCTTCTTCTCATTGTATATTTTGATCTTCTTTTTCACCAAAGATAATATAGTCTGACTCTTTTTGCGCGGCTTGCTCCTGATCCCGGCCAATTACTTGAGTTTTAAACTCTTTGTTAAGGTAAGAGTCTGCTTCCAATGTGGAGAATATACTGTCCCAAGCTTCAGGGGTTTGTACAGCTGTTTTCAGAGATACTTGTAGGGACCTGTAAATTTTCAGTTCTTCCAAGGTGGTATGATAAGAGGCGAGGTGTTTACTCCTTTCCTGGCCTGTGACCACAAGTATTCCTTTCTGTCCTGTAACTGTGAGGAAGGATTCCTCTCCACAGCCACTACAAGCTCCTCCACACCAGCGCTCCTCCTCACCCCAGCACCGCTGCCCAGAACTGTGACCCAGATCCAAACACGGGCAAAACAAGAGATTCCTGCCTCCGCACTAGCAAAGAGATCCCTGCAGTCCCTCTGTGATCAGCCACTGGATTCCTCCTCAGTCTATGGGCCGGAAGCTTGGGAAGCAGCTGCACCCCCCCCCTGGGCCACACTCTTGGGGAATGGAGCTGAGACCCCACCTTCTTCTCTCAGCACTGACAGAAACAGACTTTTCCCACTGACCTTCTAAATTGTCTTTGGCATTCGTGGATTGAGGAGTGTGGAAACTTCCACAGCTGCCCGTGATTCAGTCCTCTGAGGCCTGTTCCAAGTTGGCTGTGACCTGCGTGCCCACACTGAGATGCGCTGCACTCCAAGCCTGGTGTGATACACCTTTCTGATCAATCATCCAGGTTGTCTTGGGCTGGAAATTTGTTTCACTCTGTCTTTTTATGGGTTCTGCTGCTTCAGAATTTGTTTAGAGCCATTTTTTATGAGTATTTGGAGGGGTTTGGGGGACAGCTCAAGCAAGTCTCTCCTTTCACTCCGCCATCTTGGCTCCGTCCCCCCAAGGTAAGATCTTCTACAGGATAACGGGACAAGTGACTCTGGAGAACAACACAGTGTCTAGTTGGACTGGTTCACTAAGGCATCAGGATGGGGAAGAGAAGAGAGTATAACCAGTAGAGGGATGATTGCCTTGGTAAAGAACTGAGGGGCACAGGGATTAAAGGTCATGGAGAGGATAAAAAAAATGGGGCTTCAGTTTGCAAGACAGAAGGAAAGGTGAAATGACAACAAATAATGATACAATGAAGGAATTTCAGAGTTCTTAAGCATGAAAATGGAAGAGTTGTGGGTAATGGCAAAATCAAGGGTTATGACCATCTCTGTGTATAGCTGTGCTAGGATAGAGGAGTAAATCATGGGAAAGGATTAAATGAGGAATTAGGAGATTAGGATGTTTGAGGGAATGTCCATGTATATTTTGTAGTCCCCTAATTTGTGAGCAGAAATGGGGGAAAAGAAAAAGACTGTGAGCCATGCCCTGACCTCACTGAGGAAGGAAAGGGAGTGAGCTGGAGGTTGGTAGAGAATAGCTACCAGAATTCTGATCCAATCAGTACAAAGACACGAAAACAGGAGACAGAATGGCGTCTGTGAAAAACATTGGGTAGTCCAGTATGGCTAGAATGTAAAATGCATGGAAGGGGAAGAGGGAGAAGGAAGAAGAATAGAAGAAGATTGGAAAGGTAGGAAGGAGCCAGGTGTTTGAAGAGCTTTAAATGCCAAAAAAGGACTTTATAGTTGTTCCTGGAGGTAATAGACACTGACTTTTGCTGAGCAGGGGAATATGAAAATAGCCTTGACAGCTGAGAAGAGCATGGAATGGAGTGCGGAGAATTTAAAGGCAAGGAGAATAATTAGAAGGCTATTATAGTAGCACAGGTGAGAGGTGATGAGGGCCTGAACTATGGCAGTGGTTGCTCTGTGAGTCGGCAGAAGGAAACATATGTGAAAGATACTATAGAGAAAGAAGCTACAAAATTTAGCAACTGATTAGATATGTGGGGTGAGTGAGAGAAGGGAGTTAAGAATAACTCTGAGGTTTCAGATCTTGGTTATTGAAAGGATCAGGGGACCCTGAACAATAACAGAGAAATTCAGAAGGTGAGAGAGTTTGGGGAGAAGGCTAATGAACTCTGTTTTGAACCTGTTAGGTCTGAGATGCCTGGGTGAGATCCAGTTCAAAGTGTTCAAAAGGCAGTTGGGCTTCTGGGAACAAATCTCAGGAGACAGATTAGAGTCTGGAAGTAGATCTGGAAATCATCATCAGAGAGATGAAAGTTGAACCCAGGGGAGCTGATGAGCTCACCCATTGAGACAACAGAGATGGAAAAAGAGGAAGCCCAGGACAGAGCCTTGGGTGTAACCTGGATGAAGATCCAGCAACAAATACTTTCAAATAAAAGCGGAATAGGCTGCTATGAAACACCATGGAGTCCTCATCCCTGGAGGTGTTTAAGGGGAAATTGAATGTCCTCTTAGTGCAAAGGTCATTATTCTTTAGCTGTGTGCCTGAGGACCTGTCTGAGATTCTCCTACTTTATTCTGGGTGGTAGCTACAACGATTCAGGCAGAAAATGTACCTTCTGTATCCTAGTGGCTCCACACTCAGAGACAAAATTAGAAGACAGTTTCCAAGAAGGATGAAAAATATAGACAACCTAGACAATCAAGCAACCTATGGTTACTTAATATGTCAAAGTCTCCCTTAACATAGTATTGACAGCAAATCCATACAGATTTTGCTTTATTTTATACATTGACATACATATTGACATTATTTTAGAGGCACCAAAACATAATGGTTACAGTGTTTGACAGAGTCAGAAAGACTTGTGTTCAAATTCTGCCTCTAAAACTAAAATCACTTAGCCTGTGTGCCTTCAGATTTATTTACTGAGTTCTAGACTGGTTGAGATCTGCACTTATCAAACAAACCTACCTTGGGCTAGCAGCCTGGGAGCTTACACAAGATTAAGTGAGTATTGTGGCTTCTAAGCCCTGGAAGAATTCCATGAATAGTGGTGAGCTGACACAGCCAGCCTGGGAGTCAGCAAGTCCTAC